TAGATAGATAGATAGATAGATAGATAGATAGATAGATAGATGGATACTGTAGATAGATAGATGGATACTGTAGATAGATAGATAGATGATAGATAGATAGATAGATAGATAGATAGATAGATAGATAGATAGATAGATAGATAGATAGATACTGTAGATAGATAGATAGATAGATAGATACTGTAGATAGATAGATAGATAGATAGATACTGTAGATAGATAGATAGATAGATAGATAGATAGATACTGTAGATAGATAGATAGATAGATACTGTAGATAGATAGATAGATACTGTAGATAGATACTGTAGATAGATACTGTAGATAGATACTGTAGATAGATACTGTAGATAGATAGATAGATAGATAGATAGATAGATAGATAGATAGATAGATAGAATGAGAGAGAGAGAAAGAGAGAGAGAGAAATAGAAGTATATATAAAGCTCAGAGTAAGTGAATAAAGTCAGACTTTAAAGACAGCCTTTTCACAAAAACAAAACAAAAAGTAAAAAATTAAAATGATCAACATCACATTGGATCTCACAGTCCAGTTTAGTTTCTAAATCTCTTCTTCTGAACGGAGTAGACTCAGTATGGTGGTTGACAAAAGTGCATGCTGGATTTCTGATAAAAGTCTTGACCTGCTAAAGGACTGCAACGCCTGTGGTGTTAAAAATCTCAACTGTAACGTTATAACTCTCAGTTGGTGCAACACTGAACCTCATCTGAAATGGAATGTGTTTATGATACTTGATGCTAATCTGCTAGGACTAACAAGGATTATCGACTGGAAATGATGAGACTACATAGTCCATTGACTCCAAAACATTCCCGCCTTAAAGAATAACTTGTTTCAGTCCAAAAGCACAAAAAAGTACAAAACAGACTCAATAAAAAACACGAGCACAAAATGTTGAATCTTACGCTGTGCTGCATCGTTCTCCAAACAATCCTCTGGTTTGCAGCGTAAAGAGGCAGGGAAACAGAAAATCCTCATTAATTTAATTGAGCATAAATGGAAGAAATAATTGATGGACACAAACTAAATAAAAGGCGACAGCGGTACAGAAGACATCAAATATACTTTGAGATTGAGAAGAAATTAAAATGCTCAAAAACATTATTAGTAACCCAAACGCCTGTAAATTGAAAAAGGCAGCTTTAAATATGTTGGATGAGGAGGCTGCAGTTACACTACCATCATTTCTCTAGTCTTTAGCACACATGATTACATTTATTATATAGAAAACTGGAAAAAAAAAAGAAACAGTGCATTATAATGATGCACATTGAAACGTTCAGTTTCTAATTTGAACTGGATTGTGTGTCTATTGATAACCTTTGCCCTGATCCGAGATTTCATCCAACAAACAACCCGATGACTGAAAGTGATGGTGAGCTTTAGAGCAACAATACGTGTGGTCAGCCTTACAAAACTATTCATCTCCCTTTATCCTTTTTTCCTCTTTTCTGTTTGCCAAGTACGCAGAGATGAGGAGGGTGCTGATCACAGTGCATCCCACCTTCCTCTGCCCTTTTGGGGGTAAAGCTGTTGATTTGTTAACAAACACAAATCGATAGAGGGGCCTGAGCGGGAGGACAAGTACAAAGAATTAATTTCCGGCTCCGGGGGCATACGGTGGCAAATCATCCGCTTTAATCAACAGTGTCAAGACGGGAAGACAAATGATGCTTACACCGAGTTGGTGCGTCTCTTCTGAAAGCAGTAGCGTCAGCTTTGTGTCCTTACCAGTCTGTCTAAGCTCGTGCCAGCTGCAGTGGTGGGTGGCTCCTCTGGGCTGTAGGGCCTGAAGCGGGCGTTGAACACATCCGATACACCACGAGTGGACCTCGTGATTCCTGCAGGTTTGGGCTGGCCACAGCCTTGAAAAACCTGCAATTAAAAAAAAACATGGGCACACAGCTGTCAGTGGTTTGAGAAGCTTTGGTTGCAGAAATACGAGAAAACATGTTTAAAAAAAAAAAGATCCTGTGAATCATTCTCCCCACACCACCAGTGTGCTCTAAGTCAACACACGGTAACCACATTTATAAGTCAGTTAGTTAGGAGCTGTGACCGATGCTATTTAAGGTGGTGGACTTCAGTTTTTACAGGCTTTTGGGGAAAACACCACACATAGTTAAAGCCTAAACAAAACTGCATGTGTTGCATGAGAAAACCAAGAAAACATTCAGCTTGGACGGGGAAATGGCATCCAAATCAGTGCAGGGAGAAAAGTATTCCTCGTGACCACTTGTTTTTTTCTTTATAACTACAATCTTGTGGTCAAACAAAAATGCACTTAAACACAGGAAACACATTAAATACTGTTAGTCGAGCTATGATTAAGCGACCAAACTGGAACATGTAATTCAGAAACATGACCTAAACTTAAACCAAACTAGAAAGTGTTGCATCACACACACCTTAGACACAGGCAAAGACTAACTAGCAAGCTCCTTGTTGAGTTTGTAAAAAGATTGTCTGCTGTGCAACGTTTTGTTCCTTCACTTACCCTGTAGGAGACCTGGGCACTGTTATCTTGCATATTCATGATGGCCTCCGATATCTTGACATCAATAGGGTCCATGACAGACTCAATGTTGAAAGGCCCTTCGAGCCTCTGTGCTACAAGCAGCATGGCATCTGTTACAGTGGACAAATAACAAAAGTATTGGTGTTACAGGGAGGAGACAAAAGGAGAGGGTCTGGAGGATCAGTGTTAGAAGAACTATAGTATCTGTTTAAATGCTTGATTTGGTTGCTTGTGTGAAAAGGAGCAAAAAGCAAAGATTAATCAAAAACATAAAAAAAAAACTATCTCCATGAACACAAAGAGCAGCTTTTTGAATTAAATTGGACAAAATGTAGGAGCAAAAATTCCACCCAATTTCTTTAAAGATGACAATGACTTTGTAAATTAATATATAGCTGCAGCTGGTAACATCATCCCGCTAAAAACACAAGTTTTCAGAAAAAACAAAACGTCTTTAATTAAATAGTGTGGTCACAAATTCTAAAAAGTTGACACGTTTTATTGCGTAGCCACCCATAAAATCTGCAAATAGAAGAAAAGGATGAAGAATAGAATTCTGTTAAAACAAGAAAAGGATCAAAACTGGAGATACAATGTTTTTTTTTTTTTTTTTGTTGCCTAATATCAATATTAAGTTTAAGGTTCACTGAAACATTTTTTACCACAGCCTGCCTCCTTTAACTGGGTACGTCAAACAAGTTTTTCTTGGTATAACCAGATTTATTTGAGGCCATTCTACTGTATATGAGTGTGACCAGCCTAGTTAAGCTGTAAAGTAAGAAGCGTGAGATTGACTTTAAAAGTTGTCATTCCTAAAACATGATGTAGAACCAACACATTTATAAAGCAACATATGATAAAGTAAAAAAAAAAAAAAAGCAGAACAACTTTAGGGGGTGGGGGTAGGGGGTACTTTTGTTGTTTAACATTTTGATAGCAATCAACAATACAGCCCATTATGTACTTGGATATTGACCTGGTACTTTTCCAGTACAAAGCTAGCTGCGATATTTTTTTTTTTTCATTTATCCTTTATTTATCCAGGTTAGTCTCATTGAGCCACGAGAACTCATTTTCAAGAGAGACCTGTTTAGGGAGCACATGGTGGGGGTTAAGGGCCTTGCTCATGGGCCCAGAGTGGGGCGAATGAGGGTGGGGGCAGGTGTGGGTGTTTCACCTACCCCACCCACAATTTTGATGTTGTCGGGGCCGGGGCGTGAACCGGCGATCTTCGGATCACAAGCCCACCTCTCTAACCTCTGCGCCACCACTCCCCCAATATATTTTGTTATTCAACTAGAAAAGGTGTTTTTTGGTTCAGTTTTAAAGTCTGTCAAGAGGAACATGTCATTTAACTCATTTAAACTTGAATCCATCCAACCAGCTGGGATTGAGTGGTTAAAGCAGTCGTCCTCCAATGCAAGAGTTGGGGGTTTGAATCCACCAGCAGTCACATGCCGAAGTGTCCCTGGGCAAGACACTGAACCCCGCATTGCCTCCGATGTGTGTCCCATCGGTGTATGAATGTGATAAAGCTCTGATTAGTCTCTTTAGAATGATTTGTTCAATAAGTTTTGTAGAGATCTAGTAGAGTGCTGTATGAATGGGTACATGAGGACACAGATTGTAGTGTAAAGCGCTTTGAGTGTCTCAATAAGATATAAAGGCGCTATATAAGTGCAGTCCATTTATCTTTAACCTGCATCTTCCTTTTCAGATACGGGAGTCACTGGTGCCCATGTCCAACTATCAATGAGTGAGAGGTGGGGTACACCGTGGACAGGTCTCCAGTCCATCACAGGGACACATGGAGACAAACGAGACAAACAACCATTCACTCTCTCACTCACACCTAGGGACAATTTAGAGTTACCAATCAGACTAGCATGCTTGTTTTTGGTCTTTGGGAGGAAACCAGAGTACCCGGAGAAAACCCACGCATGCACGGAGAGAACATGCAAACTCCACCCAGAAAGGCCCCCAGCCGGGATTTGAACTTGGCCAACCTGCTCGAAGAGAGGCAGCAGCTCTACCAACTGCACCACCGTGCTGCCCAACTTGAATTCATTTCACTCAAATTATATATATATATATATATATGTATTTCTGCGTATTTGCTAGTGTTTTACATAATTATTTGTTATGTTTATGGAAAATTCGGCTATTTTGTAAAACTGCACCATAAGCTAAAGTGCAGAAATTATGACCCTTCACCTTTTTTCTGTTTGGCTTCCTGAGCGTCTCATGGTCTAGTGTTGGGCTCTGACCAGTTGTGGTACAAACAAAACTTATTTTGAATTTTTTAAAACCTTCAATGATATGCTTAATCAATTTGAAATATGTATTCCAACAACTAAGATACAAAACCACCAACTATTCTTAAGTGTTTTAAGTAATTAGGTCAAAAACACTTATTTGGCTCCATGTTCTTTTAAAATGTGAACTCAAACACAGATAGAAAATTAAGATAAAAACACAGTGTTGTAAACTACACTCAGATCTTTAGACAGCATTTTCATTTTTGATTACATTATTCCCATAACTGACATGAATGATTTCTGCTGTGAACTCTGTTTTTTGCACAACAACTCAATTAAGTCAACAAAACAACAAAATGTGCTAATGAGCTATCGATTTAAAACAAGAATAAAACTAATACAAACTGAAAGTCAAGCTCATTTGCAGCCAGAAGGTCAGAGATTTATTAATCTGTGGACAGAAGCCAGAAAGCCTTGTTGAACACGAGTCACTTGTCATTATTGTTTCGATTTGTTTCCATCCTTTCAATTATCAGCTCCGACAGCTTTACAGAAAGATGTTTCATCAGAGTATTTAACAAGTGTGAGCAGTGCAGAACTCACAGTACCAAGGTGACTTGTTTCATACTGCTCTGAAACAGGTGCTAAAGTGCTCTTAGCCCCAGGGTTTTTATATTAACTCCTTCAGACCTGAGCTGCACTCTCCCCTTGAAACTGCAGTGAGCGAATGTTCAATCAGATCTTTACAGTAATAGTTAAGATCCTTTCAAGTGGGGCTGTGTGGAAAGGTTATGAACAATTAGTGTTTTACCTGCACCAGATAGCTCATTAAACGACGTCAGATTGGAGAAAACTAGTTTAATTGTTCATACTGTTCTAACAGAACCCGACTTCAAAGGATCTGACCTTTTAATTAAGATCATTGAAGTGAAACAGTCACTGTTTTGACAAGTTTGGATGGCAAATAATAAGAAACATCAAATCCCTAATTCTCTGCTAAGCACGTTTCAGATCCAGAGACAGGCAGGACAGGTTTCTGCTCCCACAGATCTCCCAGGACTAGATCTCACCAGCCGGCTGTCATATTGACTACAATTACCTTGTGTCTAAACAAGGTCATCCTGTTTTTTGCACCCTGTTAAAACAATGACTTCTAACATGACGGCACCAACTTAAACAGCCATTTATTTATTTATTCACCGGAGAAATGCAGAAAGTAGCCAGTTGCAAAATAAATAAATAAATACATAAATAAGGTGGCAGCCTAAACCACTCCACCCACACATGTGAAAATAACAGATGACGCCAAAATATAATTTGATAAGATAAACACAAAGAAAGAAAAAAAAAAAAAAGAGCAATACTGTACGAGAAACATACAATCAAGCAAGCAAACAAAACAACAACAAATCTAACAATTTAGTTCCTCAATAGAAGACCTGTCCAGCTTTTCAGCCTTCTGGGATCACTAACAGGAGATGAAAAAGGCAGAAAAACATCGGCTCAGTCCTGGCTCCATTTCCTTTCCAATTATGTCGAAGTCTCAGCCTTTGAAGAGCTCTTCTGTTTGTTTACACTGTGAATTGCAAAGAGCCTGTGATGCTTGCTGAGATCTTAACATAAAGATTGCTTCGGCTCCAAATGTTTTTTTTGTTTGATTTTTTTCTAGAAAAGCTCCTGAATCGTACACCACTGTGCTGAATTATTATCTATAAGTAAAGGAAGCGTTTGTGTTGACAGTAATTAACCAAACCAATTCAATTTATTACACCCCTGTTGCAAACAAAGTATTTAAATAAGCACATTTATCATATTCCATTAAAATATAGTTGTTGAACAGCATTCCCAGCACATACTGTGAGCAACACTTATTGTACCAGAGATTTTAAAACTAGTGTTAACTTTCTGAATTCACTCCGGCAGTCTTTAAGAGAAATATCACAAACTGCAACACAGATGTTATTTAAACATTTCTGAAAGTAATCATTTATTGGACATGTACAACTGATTATCTTTGGTGTAAACTCATTGATGAGAAAAATATGAACAGAGTGTCTCCGCCTCGTACATTTATGCAAAATTAGAGCTTAAATATCCTATTTTCTGTGTGTTGCCATGTTGCATTTTTGGAATCAGAGTTTGCGCAGTTGAGATGTGGGGCCGTACATCACACCACACCTTCACCTCCACACTCAACCAGAGTATTTTTAGGTATCAAACAATGAAATACTGCTAAAATTAACTGAAGAATGAATATTTCTACATATAAATGCACAGTATGAACTACACAAATCCACAGACTTCAACACTTGAGAAAAAATATATTTTAGGGGATTTAAAAAAAAAAACAATTAATTTACATGGACTTAAATTTGAACTCTACTGAAGTCTCTATAGAGTTGGTGTTCATCCAATTTTGGCAGAATAAGAATAAACAAATTGTCATTGTACTGGGATACAGTGAGATTATATTCGTACAGTTGTCCGAAAGATGGGCGGAGTGCACGTAGCTGCTGCTAAAAAGCGCAGCTCCTTATTTTTTATTTGAATACTTTTCGATAGAAAAAGGGTAAGAACCATAAGGAAAGATAGTGGTATTACAAAAAAAAGATCTATTCACATCTGATCCCATCAGGACACGATTTGAGACACCAAAAAACTCTACCAGCAAGCACATTTATAGACACATTACATTGCATCTGACATCAAGACGCTGAGATTTGTCTATAGCACTTTTAGATAGGCCACAGTTCTAATGATGTTATTTCAGCTGGCAGTTCTGATAAGCCTGCACATAGACACAGCTTTGTCCCTAGTTACCCATGTCCCAGTGGAAATTCGGCTCGTATCCG